TTGAACTCTGGAAGATGAGTCTTCCTGACTCCAGGCCCAGCACTCTGTCCACTGTGCCACCTAGCTGCCCCTATCCCTATTTTTATAGATGAGGAAATTGAAGCAGATAGGGATTCAGTGATTTTCTCAGGGTCACACAGCTAAAAAGTGAATAAGGCCAGATTCAAACGCAGATCTTCCTGAATCCTGGTCCAGTGCTCTATCCATCCAAATGCTAGCAGTTAGCTATCTGATACCTGAACCATCTGGTTATCTGCTCACATAAAGAAGTAGTAACAAAAGCTCAGATCAAAGCCCAGGGATCCTACGTCTCAGCCCATGGTTGTCTCCACTGTTCCCCCCTGGGATTAACGTTCAGTTGGGTATTGTGCCTAATTAAACCACTTCAGCCCTTGGGGTTGAGACGCAGCAAGGGTGATTGTGTGAGAAGTCAGGACCCTAGGGCAGTTTCTGCCTTCTCTTGGTTAACCAGATAGAAGTTGAGATGGAAGTTTCTGTTTGCCTGTGCCAGCGACCTCTGGACCAACTTCTCCTTGGTCCAGAGTCTGGCGTCCTTGGTCAGAACTGCCCTTCCTCATCCCACCACTTGTGTCCCAAGAGCTAGCTGGGAAACTGCTGTGTGGAGCCCAAGGTGGCGGCTGTGTTCTGCTGGTGTAGGAATTCCTGGCCTTGCAGCTGCTGCTTGGAGCATCCTCCAAAGGAGATGAGCCAGCTGCCTCCCCAGGCCTCCTTTGCTGGGTTGCCACAGAGAAGAGCCATGGGAACTGTTTGCATACAGAGTGACAGTCCCCCCTCTAAAATGATTCATGGCCCTTGCCATCCCCTGTTCAGAGTCATGTGCTCCCCAGTCCTTGCCAAGAAGAAGGGCTGGTCTTTCTTTTTCTGTTTTTTCATCTAGAAAAAGAGAATTTGCTTCATAAGGGAGGGAATTCCATTGGCACTCCTGGAAGAATTAAGAGCCCTTTGAGGAGTGGACCAAAGCAAACACGATTAAGTTGGATACGTGGCATTTGTGACCTCGGTGGTCTGGGAGCTCTGCTAACTGATGCAGATTACAGCCCATCTTGGCCCTCTCAACTGCTATGATTCTGGTCCATGTTTGACCCATTAGCAGATTTATATGATATGAAGAATTGAATTTAAGAGTAAATATAAAATTCTTCAGCCCAGTTAATTTTTTTAATTTAGGTACAAGATGGGCAAGGACATGGCTGAATAATAATATGTATGTATTGTTCATTGTTGACTCCCCAGCCGTGTAATTTGGAGCCAAAGAAACTAAGGCCATTTTCCAGATGGAGTGAGGTGAAAGTCCCATTGTCTCTTACCCTGGCCAGACCCACCTAAAATATTGTGTCTGGTCCTGGGTGCCATATTGGAGGAGGCATATTGACGAGCTGGAATGCCCAGAGGGAGGTGACTATGCCATTGAGAGGACTGGGAACTGTGTTTTATGGGGATCATTTGAGAGAACTAGGGACAGAAATTCCTTGAGGGCAGAGACTGCTTCACCTTTATCTGTTATCGCCAGCTCCTTGCACATAGTAGGTACTTAATAAATGCTTGATTAATTGAACTCCTTGAGGGCAAGAATTGTTTCATTTTTATATTTCTATCACCAGTGCCTGGCACAAAGTAGGAGCTTAATAAATGTAGTTAGGTGGCACAGTAGATAAGAGTACTGGGCCTGGATTCAAGAAGACGTGAGTTCATATTGGCCTCAGACACTTAGATGCTGTGTGGCCCTGGGAAAACATTTAACCCATGTCTGCTCCAGTTTTCTCATCTGTAAAATGGGCATAATAATAGTACCTACCTTCCAGGGTTGTTGCAAGGATATAATGATAATATTTTGTAAAGCTCTCTGTCAACTTTAAAATGCTATATAAATGTTAGTTACTATTATTATAGTAAATGCTTAATGATTAATATTTTAAAATTAATTAATATATTAAAATAATATTAAAATATTAAAACTTATGGGGGAGGTTTCATAATCTTTCATAATCTCTCTCTTTGAGCATCTGAAAGATGGTCATGTGGAAGAGAGGTTACAGTACTCCAGATGATGTGACCACTTATAGAGGTTGTGGAGAGGGCACCCCTTCTGCATGGGTTAGACTAGGTACCTCTGAGGTGACTTTCAGCCCTGAGATTCCATGGTCCTTTGGCCTTGGCTTGGGGGTAGGGGTGGGGGTGGGATATATTCTAGCTCAGTCTCTTCTCCTAGTAATTTCCAGTATCTGAAGATCCCAAATGATGACAACTCCTCCCAATAGTACAGAACTTTAATATTCAGAAAATACTTTTCCTCTCTTTGTGAGATAGTTAGGGAAGGTGGGGATTTGCCCGTTTTACAGATGAAGAAATGAGGCTCAGAGCTCCGAAGTGGTTTTGCCTATAGGGCCCCCTTGCTGGTGAGTTTTGGAGCCTGCCCACACAGCCAGGTGTTTGCAGCTCTGTGTCTAGTGTATACCACATTGTGTCGCCAAATAGACATTGCAGAGAATCTGGGAGTGGGGGAATGAGTCATCCATGCTTCAGCTCTGCTGAGCACAAATGTAACCCTAAGAAGCTGGCAGTCGAGATGAAAATTATTCTCTTTGGTGGTACAGTCCGTCTGCTCAGCATGATTCTGTCCTGTCTGCTGAGGGACCCCTCTCCCTACTTGGCACAGGTTTCTGTCTGTCCTCTCAACCCAACCCACTGCACCTCAAAGCCCAAAGGGAAGACCGAGTCGTTGAAGCCACACTGAAATTGTCTAAGCCCACCTCCTCGAAGCTTTGATTTCAGTATATGATACACTAATGGGCATCACATTTCTTGCCTTCTCAATGGCTGGGGGAGGGGGTGTAGGGAAGGAAGGAAAGAATTCAGAAAAAAATTGGGAAAGAATTTTTTTAAAAAGAGGGGAAAGGGGCAGCGAGGTTGCACAGTAGATAGTGCACCAGCCCTGAAGTCAGGAGGACCTGAGTTCAAATCCAGCCTCAGATACTTACTAGCTGTGTGACTTAACCCTGACTGCCTAGTTGGAACAGGACTTTCATGTTCCAGTAAGGACATCACAAGGTGCACATACCAGCGAGAACCTAAATTTGTCGCCAACCTACTTTTCCATACATCTGTCTGTTCTTCGTTTGGGACAGCTAGGTGGAGCAGTGGATAGAGCACCAGCCCTGGAGTCAGGACGACCTGAGTTCAAATCTGGCCTCACACACTTGACACTTACTAGCTGTGTGACCCCGGGCAAGTCACTTAACCCCATTGCCTAGCCAAAAAAAGGGGGTGGTGGAGGAATATGATATAGAGGAAAGCACTGGGAAACTTCAGGTTCAAATCCTGACTGCTATTTATAATCGGTGTGACTCTGGGCAAGTCACTTTAACCAATCTGGTCCTCACATTCATTCCCCATTTGAAAAATTCAGAAGTTGGACTGGAAGACTTTGAAGGTCCCTTCCAGCTCTGAATCAGTGATTCTTCAGGCTCTCCCCGCAAGTGACTGAAAGAAGGAGATGCAGCTCTTCCTTTACAACATTGTCATCATGTACTCCAGCGGATGTGGGACCTCAGTGACCCAGCTCAGAATCCATCTGTGCCTGCCCAGTCCTGTGCCACTTGTATCTATGTGTTCCCATCGAATGAGATAATATAGGTGGAGCAATGGCATACCTTACAAGTGCTCTATAAGGGTTAATTATTATAAATAACAGTACTAGCAGCTAAGGTATAATAATAATAATAGCTGTCATTTATATAGTGCTTCCTGTGTGCCAGGCGCTGTACTAAGCACTTTATAATTATTATCTTATTGGATCCTCCCAGGTAGGTGCCCTTTTAATCCCCATTTTACAGAGGAAGAAACCGAGGCAAACAGTTTAAGTGACTTGCACTGGGTCACACAGAGAGTGAGTGTCTGAGGCTGGATTTGAGCTCAGTTCTTTCTGACCCCAAGCCTGGTGCCCTACCCACTGTACCACCTCGCTGCCCTAAGCTTATGTTTGTTAACTCCACTAAGTCCTACTTCTAGGCCTCGCAGGGGCACGGAAGTGACCCTGGGTTTCCTGAAGGCCTTGCCAGCGAAGCACAAGTTTTGCCAGTCTGGAGAGGCTGCATATGTAGTAAGAGATCACGGCTGCCTCACTGAGGATCAGCCTCCAAAACTGGGGAGAAGCTCGTCACCAGCAGGCTGGCCTCTAGGAGAGAAATTGTTTTTGCCATAAAACAAAAAGAAATGCATGACCCACAAGCATGTTTAAAGCTGGAGATACAAAAATGGAGGACCTTCCTCAGACACCTTCTATCCTCCTGGCCTACATCTTACTTATTTCTCTGACTACTGAGCTTCCCAGCCCTCAGGGCAGAAATGATCAAAGGAAGATTGTTACCTGAGGCCTCTGGGGCAGTAGGATAGTGACAGGGGAAGAATTAGCCAGTGAATGAAAAATTGGCCTTTTGCTAAGTTACATTCAGCCTTTGTCAGACCAAACCTGAGTCCAAAGGGTTTCCTTTGAGAATTTGATTGTCTTAATTATTAGGGCATTATATTCTAGCAATTTGTCAATCTGCCTACATATTTGAATGTCACATCCTTATGCTCCCATGTAATTATTTTCTAACTACCTGAAAAATAAATTGCTTCTTCTCTATCAAAAATGAGTACCGTTAATCTTCTGATGATTCTGTATACTCCGTTAGTGTCCACACAAAAATTCTATGATCATGGTAGGAAAGGAGCTAAAAGAACCGTTTCGCAACTGACAAATGGGCAGAGGTAATGCCCAGGCAGTTTTCTAAGGAAGAAATTGAAGTTATTGACAGCCATGTGAAAATATTCTCCACATCACTAATACTTAAAGAAATACAAATTAAAGCAACTCTGAGGTTCTACCACAAACCCATCAGACTGGCAAAGCTGACAAAAAAAAAATGACAAATGTCAGAAGGGCTTTGGGAAAACAGACATACCTAGTACATCGGTGGAGCTGTGAATTGGGTCAGCCATTCTGAAAAGCAATTTGGAACCATGCTCCAAAGTCACTAAACTGTATATACCCTTTGACTCAGTGTAACCATGGCTAGGGCCTATACCCTGAAAGAGAGAAAAGAAAGATCAGTAAATAAAGAGGATCAATATGTACAAAAATATTTATAGCAATTCTTTTTCTGGTGGCAGAGAGTTGAAAACTAAGCAGGTGCCCATCAGTTGGGGAATGACTGAACATGTAGTATATAAGTATAATGGAATACTATTGTACTGTAAGAAAGGATGATTTCGGGGAGAAACAAAAATACCTGAGAAGACTTGTATGATCGGATACAGACAGTGAACGGCGAACAGAACTGGAAGGACAATTTATCATACTATAAAGTGAGATGGGATAGGCAGCAACACTGTAAACACCAGCAACTTTGAGAGACTTAAGAACTGATCAGTGCGATAAACCAAACACAATTCCAGAGGATTATTGTTGAAACTTGATGAGAGAGGATAGAATCAAGATGCAGGATAAGACATGCCTTTTTAGACAGTGATCATTGTGGAAGTATTTAACTTGACTAGGACAGAGAATGACTAAACGAATTGTGATTCATCAATATAGTAGCTTCAAGGAAAAACACATAATGGAGAATCCAGAGAAGCACAGGAAGGTTTATATGACCTGATGCAAAATTAAGCAGCACAGAAAAAAATATGCAATGACTATGATAATGTAAAAGGAAAGAAGGGGAAACAACACAAAGCTTGCTTGGCTCTAGGAGTTGAAAAAATGGACCCCTCTCCTTCACTGCTTGTCTGGGGGCCTTATGGGTGTGGAATGATGCACGGTTCTCTGACACAGTTCATAAAATCAGGCAGCTGGAACTCTAGAAAAGATGGCCTCAGAGACCATCAGTCCAACCCTCTCGTTTTACAGATGAGAAAACTGAGTGTTCTTAACTGAGTTAAGTAACTTGCCCAGAATCACATAGGTGGAAAGTGGCAGAGCCAGGGTTCAAACTCAGTTTCTATGACTCCCGCTTCAGCATGGTACTTTGATTGCTCTGTTGGCTTGGGTTAGGCTAGAGCAAAGACCCAGGTTGGAAGATTAACAGAAAATAGGTACTTGCAGGCGTGAGATTTATCATTGTGCAGCACAGTAAACCCACAAAAATAAAACCACACATACGTACTATGTAGCAATTTGGACAGAGGCTTGGCCATGCAAGGCCAAAGTTACTGACATTGTGAGGGGAGCGTGTACTGTGGCAATCTCTCAGTGAGAATACGCACTCAAGTGTGGTCTGAGCAGAAAAGTTATATACCTTAAAAATAGGCTTGATTGAGAACAAATAATGAATGTCAGGTATGGGATGGGGAATTCTTAATTAGACCCAGATGTGGTTGGGAAACTACCTGGGTTGCTTTTTGATATCAGACTTGGGCTGGGGAGTTTCCTAATTTGGACCAGAAATTGGGGGATGTTATCAGGGATCCCAGAAATGGGTGTCACAGCAGTCTTGCTGGAGCTTAGAAGCCTTGATCATTTACATGTTTGATGTAAGGTCAGAATGAGTCAGGATGGTGGAAGAGTGCAGGCTGTCTGTTATTGCTTCTGTGGTCATTAGGACCACTTAGCCTAAGTGATTCCAAATTGGAGTCTTTTCACTTACACTACATCAAAAATATATTTCACAAGTTGAAATTATTATATTGCTGTGTTAGTTTTGCTAACCTGCTCTTTTGGGGGTTTCTTTAAAAATATTTGTTACATGGATGGGGAGGGGAGGGGAATGGCACATATATGTACATACATGTATGTGTATATCCACATATGCATGCACACACATGTGTGTATATGTGTTTATATGTATGTGTGTGTATATATACCTGCACGTCTCTACATACATATACATATACATATACATACATACAGAGAGAGAGAGAGAGAGAGAGAGAGAGAGAGAGAGAGAGAGCGCAGCTAGGTGGCACAGTGGATAGAGCACTAGGCCTGGAGTCACAAAGACCTGAGTTCAAATGCGGCCTCAGACACTTACCAGCTGTGTGACCCTGGACAAGTCACTTGAGCCTGTTGGCCTCAGTTTACTCATCTAGAAAATGAGCTGAAGAAGGAAATGGCAAACCACTCTAAGAAAACCCTAAATGGAGTCACAAAGAGTAGGATACAACTGGATGACAACAATATAGAAATAGATTTTCAGATACATATGTTTGTAAATGAATGTGACATAAAAAGAAAAGTTATCAATAAAAATAAGTGATTTTTCTTTAAAAAGCCCTAGTCTCAGAAGTCAAAAGGCCTGGCTTTCAGGGTTGGCTCTGCTGCGTATTGCCTGTGTAATCTTGGTGGTCACTTTTCCCCTCAGGTCCCCAGTTTCCTTACCTGTGGCCTCTAAGGCTCCTTCCAGCTCTGACAGCCTGTGGTTCTGCCTCCAAAATGTTTCAGAAGACACCCTGCTGGGAATTTATCAATATGGTTGATTTTGAAGTAACTTTGTCCTTCTCTCCCCTTCCACTCTCTCTCTGTTTCTGCAGGTTAGGTGGGGGATCAGACGATGCAAAAGAGATTATGCAGCACAAGTTTTTTGCTGGCATTGTATGGCAAGATGTCTATGAAAAAAAGGTGGGTTCCCAGCAGGCACGGGAGGTGGGGCTGCCGAGTGAGGCACAGCTCACTCTGGGCTTCTCTTCACAGAGGATACCCAGCAGGCATTGGAGCTGTTTCAGAGTAGAATGAGATTTTTCAAGGAAGTATCGAGTTTTCCAATCCCTAGAGAGACTCAAGTAGAGGCTGAATAACCATTGTGAGGGATGTTATGGGTGTGTATGGCGAGGATTCCTGCTCATGTATAAGGTGAAAGAGTAGACCTCTGAGGTCTCTTCCCACTCTGAAGTTGTATGATTCTGTGACCCTAATAATAATGATAATAAATAATAATAATAATAGCTAGCATTTACATAGTGCTTTAACATTTGCAGAATGCTTTATAGTATTATCTTGTTTTATCCTCACAGTAGCCCTGAGAGGTAGGTGCTATTATTATCCTTATTTTATTTACAGATGAGGAAACTGAGTTAGACAGAGGTTAAGTGACTTGCTCAGTAAATGTCTGAAGTGAGATTTGAGCTAAGGCTTTCTTGGCTTCAGGTACAGACTCTTTCCACTGTGGCCACCCTATGTAGCTCCACTGCTGGCTGTTGGAGCTGCCTGCCTTGAACATCCTATTTCCCCACTGGAAAGTGGAAGGAGGGCCTTCTAGGGCATGGAGAGGCTGTTGGCAGGGCCTGAGGCCCCTGTTCCTGGCCTCTCCCCGGGCTTGGGTGCCTGCCAGCCCCTTGGCCAAGAGGCCCTTGCTACTTTCCCTGTTCCTTCTATTTCATCGCACGAACCAGGAGGCTCAGGAGGTCATAGGAAGGCGGGGGTGGGGGATGCATTTTATCCTGGCATTTCCTCTTGAGCATCAGACCCTGTTTGCCTTTATATTCTTGATCTTCTTAAGAACTGGGGTATTGTTTTGAAGTCCTTATCCAATAGATGTCCAGCACCACTCTTTGCCTGCTACTTCCAAAAAACAAACAAAAAACCACCTCTCTCTCTGTCTCTCTCTGTCTCTCTCTCTGTCTGCCTCTCTCTCTCTCTCTCTGTCTCCATAGGCTTGCTGGATTTAGAGGTAGAGGGGAGAGGAGGTCCTTAAAAGTTATCTGGTTCCAGGGGTGGGGAATCCTCTTGTTTTATGACTGAGAAATCTGTAGTGCAAATGTCCCTAGCCTTGGAATCAGGAGAGACCTGGATTCAAATCCTGCCTTCTGACACTTTACCATGAGCCTCAGTTTCTTCCTCTGCAAAATGAGAATAATAATACCTCTAGGAAGTCCCCTACAGAGCTGCTGTGAGGAGCAGATGAGACCATGCATTTTAAGTGCTTTATAAACTGTAAAGGGCTCCAAATGTTTAACATCGTTCATAAGCCCAGTAATCGCTCTTAACATAACAGGCTGCCTCTTTTTTTGTGTGTGTGGGGTGTTTGTTTTTTTTTTTTACAGATCATTTTTTTCCAATTTATTTATTTAAAAATTTTAGGCACTTATTTATTTTTTAGGTTTGTCTTTTTCACATTTATTTATTTATTTGTTTGACTTCTTAAAAAAATTTAAGTTCCAAATTCTCTCCTTCCCCCACCTCCTGAGAAGGCAAGTGATGTGGGTGACATGTTCTAGCCCTTAGTAGCCCTGTCTTTCTTGTTTAAGAATCAAATAATTTGAGGCCTGCACGGGACATACATCCAGTCTAATCCATACACAGGGGGACCCCCCCCCTTCCCAACCATGACATAGCTAACAGATGGTCCTCCAGTCCTACCCAAGACCATGATATGTATTCCCTTGTAGCTCCCTCAGGCAAAGACCCAGCGAGGCACATGTAGGTGCTAGGTGCTTCACTTGCTTCACGTCCCTCATTGCAGTGCCTGGCTCAGGCCATGTGTCGCTTGGCTTTATCTCTTCTTCAGCTCTGGGGTGCCAGCTCCTGGCTTATGAGTACTGCCCTGGGACCCTGGGCAAGCAGCTGCCCTTTTCCTGGGACAAAGGTCCTTACTCAGAAATGTTTCACCTGTCCTCGATTCCTGGTAACAAGCTTGTTTCATTTGCTGACGAGGCAACACCTTCCCCCACTGCCATTCCCCAGCCCCTAGCAGGGAGACCCGCTGGCTGTTCCTGCCTCCACAGTGTCTCAGGTCCTTTGTTTGTTTCCCTCCAGCCTATGTGGTCCTGGAGCCCACCTGCGTCCTAGAGGGAAGGCGACTCATCAGCCGCCATCCTCTTGCTAGCTGCTTCTGGCCTCCTTGCTGACTCCTGGATAGTGATCCTGGGGATGGCATGGGGTGGCCTGGCAGCCCTTTCTCTACTTCTACCAGCCCATGCCCAGCCAGTGGAGTTTTTTAATTCACCTGGATTCTCTTGGCTTGAGTGTGAATACCTAGTCATTCTCCTAGCTGCTCAAAACAGAAATGGAATTTTTCTCTTTCTTTAAATGTCCTTTTTTTTTTTAAATTCTTAACTTAAACACCAAAAAAAAGAAAACAACATTTCACAACACACAGCTCAACATAATAAAGTAGTGTATATGAAACCATGAATCTCCATTTCACACTATTTGCTTTTTTAAAATAAAGAAGTCAGGGCAGGTAGGTGGCCCAGTAGATAGAATACCAGCCCTGGATTTAAGAAGACCTGAGTTCAAATCTAGCCTCAGACACATAACACTCACTAGCTGTGTGACTCTGAGCAAGTCACTTAACCCCAATTGCCTCACAATAAAAAAAAAAGTGTACAATAAATTCTACACATTACTTTCAGAGCTGTCCTGTTTGTCAGTATTTCCTTCTGTTCTCTTTTGTGCATTTTAAAAAATGTTACAATACCCTTGTCTCCCTCTCTTTCTTTCTTTCTTTCTTTCTTTCTTTCTCTTTCTTTCTTTCTTCTCTCTCTCTCTCTCTCTCTCTCTCTCTCTCTCTCTCCTTCCTTCCTTCCTTCCTTCCTTCCTTCCTTCCTTCCTTCCTTCCTTCCTTCCTTCTTTCCTTCCTTCCTTCCTTCCTTCCTTCCATTGCTATTGCTATCTCTTCCCCCATTAACTTCAAGAAAGAAAAAGAAGGAGGGGAGGGGAGGCTTGCAAAAAAATTGGCATAGCCAAGCCAAATAGATCCACAGAGTGGCCATGGTTAATAATGTACGCTCTATACCTTGTATCCATTCCACCATGTTTCATCATAGATCCTCTGGAGACATGGTTAGTCACTGCTTTGATGATAACAGCAACAGCAGTAATAATAGTAGCTAACATTTATGTGGTGCTTACTGTGTGCCAGGCAGTGTGCTAAGCACTTCATAATTATTGTGTCATTAGATCATCACAACAACTTTGGGAGGAGTGAGGCAAGCACAAGTTAAGTGACTTGCTTGGGGCTGTAAAGCGAGTAAGCATCTGAGGTTGGATTTGAACTCGGGTTTTCCTGACTCCAGGCCTAGTGCTCTATCCATTGTGCCATCTAGCTGCCTTTGATCAGGGTTCTTAATTCTCTCAGTTATTTTTCTTTCTGATGTCATTCTTTTCGTTCTGCTTACTTTATTCTGTATTAGTCACTACTCAGGATTCTCTGAAATCATCTCTTTGGTCTTTTTTTCTTTTTAAATAATATTTTATTATTTTTTCCCAATTAGATGTAAAAACAGTTTTTTAACATTTCTTTTTTTAAATTTGAGTTCCAAATTCTCTCCCTCCTCTCCTCCCCCTTCTTTGAGACAGTAAGTAATTTGATATAGGCCATACATGTGCAATCATGAAAAACATATTTCCATATTAATTACTTTGTGAAAGAAAACACAGAGAAAAACCAAAAAAAAAAACATCACCAAAGGAATAAAGAAAGTGAAAAATCGCATGCTTCAACCTGCATTCAGACTCCACCAGTTCTTTCTCTGGAGGTGGAGAGCATTTTTTATTGTGAGTCCTTTGGAATTGTCTTGGATCATCGTATTGCTGAGAAGAGCTAAGCCCTTCATATTTGATCACCGTACTCTTTGTTCATTTCTTATAGCTTGATAATATCTCATTACATTTATATACATTTACAGAGGCAGCCTAAGGTAACCCTTAGATTCTAGTTCTTTTCTCCTCTCCTTCCTCCTCCTCCCAAATTCCTGCCTTCAGAATCAGGAAGTTTGTTTTGTTCATAACTTTTCCCTCCCCATTATTATATTCCCACGTAATATCTCCTTCCTTCATTCCCCACCTGTTGACTTGATTAATTTCTGCACCAAATTCTGTGCATGGCTCTGCGTCATTTTCTTAACCCTCCTTTGTCAGTTTCAGATAAGAGAAGGGCTCACCTGATGCCCAGTCCCCTCATCCCTTTCTTCATGTTTATATATTCTTATGCATCTGGTTATGAGAACTGTCAAGCTCCACTCCCTTTCTACTTTTTTCCACTAGTGTATTCTTCCCTTTACCCTCCCTCCTCTTCCCTCGTCTAAATCCACAGAACAGAACCAGTCTCCCCACCCACATATACACACCCCTCCACGCAGGATCTGTTTTTCTGATTTAGATACTTATTTTTTACGTTTTGAAGACAAAGTTCTGAAGGAACATTCGTTTCTAGCCCCATCATTAAAATGGGAGCACTCCCGTCATCCTACAGCTCCTTACAGTGTCTCAAATGAATTTACCTCTCTCGGTTTCTCTGGACTCTTGGGTTTGTATTTCAGAATTCCTACTCAGCTCTGGTCAAGCATTTCATCAGACACACTTGCAGGTCCTCCATCCCATTAAGGATCCACTTTTTCCCCCTGTAGGATTATACTGAGCTTTGTAGGTTAAGTTGTTCTTGGTTGTAAGCCTGCATCTTCCTTTACCTTTTGGAATATTGTGTGCCGATCTCCTCTGGTTTTTATTAGACACTGCCAGGTCTTGTGTGAGCCTGATTGCATAATTCCTTGGTACATGAACTGCTTCTTTCTGGATGTTTATAATAGTATGTCTCCTTCGATGAGGGAGCTTTGGATTTTGGCAATGATATTCTTGAGACTTTACCCTTCGGGTTTCCTTTCATTTGGTGATAATGTTTTTTTTTTCTATCTGTGCCCTCTGTTTCTGATAGATTTGGGTAGTTTATGATTGGGGGGGACAATTGGGGTTAAGTGACTTGCCCAAGGTCACACAGCTAGTAAGTGTCAAGTGTTTGGTCTGAGGCTGGATTTGAACTCAGGGCCGGTGCTCTATCCACTGCACTACCTATCTGCCCCTGTGATTTCTTGAAATAGAATATCTGGACTTTTTTTTTTTATCACAGTTTTGGAGCAGTCTGGTGAGTCTTAAATTCTTTCTCCTTGAATTATTTTCCAGGTCAGTTGTTTTGAATCTCAGATAATCATATATTTTCTTCTGTTTTTTCCATTGTTTGATTTTCTAATATTTTTTGCTGTTTCATAAAATCATTGATTTTTGTTTGTCTGTTCTGCTTTTCAGAAATTTCATTTCCTGGATAAGGATTACCACGTTTTCTGACCTACTTATTCTCTTTCCAGTTCTTTCCTCAAGAGTTCATTTCCTTTTTTAATGTCTTGCTTCATTTCTTCTAGGTATTCATGTATTCCTTGTGGAAAATCCCATTTTTTTTTCCTTTGAGTCCCTGCTTGCAGTTCTTGGAGTTAGATTTGCAGTGATTTTTTTAAGTCTGAAAAAAATTCATTAGTTTTAACCTTTTAAAACAATTTTGAGTTCCAAATTCTTTCCCTCCCTCCTCCATTCGCTGAGAAAGCAAGCAATATGATATCAATTATACATGTGAAATCATGCAAAATATATTTCCCTATTACATATGTGGCCAAAAAAAAAGAAAGAAAAGTAAAGAAAGTGAGAAAATTATACTTCAATTTGCACTCAGAGTTCATCAGTTCTCTCTCTGGAGATGAGTAGCATTTTTTTATCATGAGTCGTTTGGAATTGTTTTGGATTGTTGAACAGATCACAGTAGTAACCAAGTCATACACAGTTGGTCATTGCCATGGCTGCATACAATGATCTCCTGGTTCTTTGCAGTGATTTTTGATGCCATTTGGTGTTTTCTGTGATTTACTCATCTCTTCAGCTTTAGTTCCTAAATTGGGGCTTTGTGTCAGGAACAAGTCTCTGCTGTTCTGTTGAGTACGGTGATCTGGTCTGCTTCTTGGTCCCCTTGGTCCTTGCACTGACCTCTACTGACTGAGGTCTTTGAAGTTCAGAGCAATGGATCTTCAGCATTTCGGGGCAGGGTCAGGTACCTCCGAGCCCCTGGGCCCGAGCTAGCCCAAGCTGAGGGCTGTAGGAGCTTTCTGACAACCCTGGTTGCCTTTAAGGCAATCGCTGCCTCTGGACATAGAGCCTATAGGCTACATATGTTTTGTGTCTGGTCAGGCCCTGACATTGTCTCTGCACATAGAGCCTTACAGGCTATGTGTGTTCAGTGTCTGGTCAGCCTGGGATGATTGATGCTGACCCTGCTGGGGTTGAGAATGGGCCCTGCCCTGTTGTCCGTGGGCTACTGACTGATTTGTGTGTGTATGCAGTTCTGGAGTGGAAGATATCACTTACTGTAGTTTCTCATTGTGTTTCTTGAATATTTTTCAGTCTGGTGCTAACTCCAGGGTCTTGCTAGAGTAGCGCTATGGGAGCTGGGTGGTCTGATTCCCATTCAGATGGTCATCTTGGCAGGAAGACAAACATAGAGTTGCTTATTAGCATCTAGAGCAGGGGGTCAGAAAACTGTGCCTGGGACCCATAAGCTAAGAATGATTTTTAAATTTTTAAATCAAGTTTTCTTGTATTGAAAAATATAAAAACAATCTTATCTCCATAGGCAGCTGGTCTGAATTTAGCCCTTGGGCCATAGTTCGCCAAGGCTTAAGTAAAGAAAGTAAATTAAGGAGCACTCCTAGAAGCCAAAATTCTTACCCTTAGATAATAGCAACTCATCATATAATAATAACAACAATAATACCTGATAGCTAACATGTATGTAGCGCTTTAAGGTATGTAAAACGCTTTACATATACTACCTTATTTAGTAAATATTTTATTATACTTGTCATACCATATATTATATCATATCACATATTATGTCATGCATGATATATTATATCATGCCCTATTATATATTACATTCTATCCTGTTCTGTTATATATTATGTTATATATTACATTGCATCATGTCATTATACCTTATATTACATTACATATCTTATCATGTTACACATATCATATTATATAATATCATAACATTACAGTATAGTAGAATAGTGAGTGCTAGGCTTGGGAAACCTGGATTCATTCAAATCCTGGTGCTGACTTTTTTCTCTTTGTGTGACCGTCACCCTTGACATATTATGTAACTTGTCTCACCCTGTTTTCTCACCTGTACAAAAGGTGGGGGTGTATTGCATATATAACTGTAGGTATATATGGACATATATAGGTATTTGGAAAGAAGATACAGGGTGATTTTGAGGGCTTCCTTTTATATGAGTATATTAAGGCTTATGAAGTACATTGATTACAACATCCCCATGAGGTGGGTTGTTAACAGATTATCCCCATTTTGCAGATGATGAAACCAGGTCTTAGAGAAATGAAATGACTTGTGGAGCTCTCCTTCATCTGGCTGGGGAAGCTAGCACAGCTCTTCCATAACCAGCTTTCTTCCCATCTAGTGAATATTTGGGCCTAACCCGGCCTTGCATTTCAGAAGACCCCCTCTCCTCTGCCTCGCCCGAGTTCCTCCCCATTTCCAAACTGACACCCCCTTTGAGTTTTGGGTGAGGCTTCAAGGTTCTGTCATTTGGATAATTATATGATTTCTGAAGTCTCTTCCGTGCACAAAAAATATCTAGTTCATCCTCTTCGTTCAGCAGGTAAAGAAGCTGAGGCTCTGAAAAGAAAAGTGACTTGCCAGAGGTCCAGTAACAAGTCCTGGCAAAGCCAGGGTTAGAGCCCAGACCTTTTGGCCCCCACTCCCCCTGGCCATCTCCCCAGAATACCTTGTCTAATCGGTACTGGAATGAGTGGATGTAGGCAGTTTGCCTCGCTTTGCCCTTAACCCACCTGGCTGATCTGTCCTCTGGTCAGAGAGGAAGAGTTGTGCAAGATGGAGTACCTGGGCCTGGGTGCACCTGTGGCAGGCTACCTACGATTGGTAGATTGAAACGGGTGAGCAAGCAGTTATGAAGTGCCTACTGTGTACCTGTGTGCCATGCTAGGGATACAGAACAAAGCAGCCTGACAGCCTCTGTCCTCAAAGACCTGACTATCTAACGGGAGAAAAC